GCTGATAGCTATAAAAGGCAGAGCAAATGCCATCAGATGTCCTTGAAAGGGAAGTGCAGCAATAAGTCCTATTCAAGATATACCATCAACTGGGGCTACAGCCTCAGCCTCCAGCTTGTTGCTCTCTATTAGAAACAACTTAGAAGCAACTCTAGTCCTCTGTTCTTGACCCTCTTGGTCTTTGCCCTGCATTTGACCAATCCTAGGCTTGGCCTTGTGGGATTTTCTAGCACTAGAAATCTGGATTATTATAGACATCTCTCCTATCTATGCCTTTGTCTTTCTCCTGCCAACAGACTGCCGATGACTCAGATTTCAAGGTGGGTCAGGCATTCTCTAATTATTCCCCTGATTCCTGATTACTTTCAGAAAGTCTATGACGTGGGAATGAAACGTACAAACTTGTATTTGTCTCGTTTTCTATGTGCATTGGCTAGCACAGGACACTGTACTCATAGGTGTAGCCTGTTTGAATGTGGCTTTTCTGGGCTATTCTTCTTCAACCTGGATTGCTCTGGATGGGCTTGAACTAGAATTCATAAAATTCTCGGCCAGGATGGCTAGACATGCCTTGAGAGCATGAAGCATTTTATGCACATAGACCGCATAGAGATCAGCTGTCCCCTGTAGAGAATGTTGGTATGCCGACTCCTTACTTTGATGCAGAGACCTTAGCTGATTTTTTCTGAAGGTACATTATATACTGTACCTTCACACAAGGAGATGGTTATGTGAAAACATGAAGTGCAGTGATCAGTAATTCTGTATCTTATTCTGGATTGCTTTTGGAATGTCTTGTCCTGTTACCAAGTGGTCCAGGAAGAATAACAACCCTTTATATTCTTTTTAGTAGTTGTGTTGCTAAATAGTACTTGGTGCACTCACCAAGTTTGTTTTCTCAGTACAAATGGGTTGCTAATACATTCTTTATGTCCAGACTTGGCTGTTAGTACAGACTCACCCTTGCTAAGCTCTCCTTTACCAAATGTCTAATTCTGCTCTCCCTTTTTGTCACTTCATGTAGAACCTGTCTCATTTGGGGACATCTCAAACGTTCTTCATTTTCTTGGTTGTGTCACTGCCCACCTAGTGCCACAAAATATGGCAACACAAAAGTATCAGTATATCAATAGCAAATAACACTCAGGATCTGCTCAGTGTGACCTTGGATCTGGTTTTGGCCAGATGTTGGAGACAGTAGCAGTGGCCCAATAGTAAGATGGAGAGTTGGGGCAAGTCAAAAGGACAGTGGAGTATGGAAGGTAGAGAAAGAACATGAAGAGGGAAAGGGAACTGAGATAATTTATGAAGGGCAATAGTTTTAATGAGTATGTGCAGAATTCTCTTGGCTACTAGATCAATTCCTATGACTTAAAGCTAGTGCATCAGTATGTGGTCAGGAGTTACTGGATTTAGCATCCACCTCCTTCAAAAGGCATGTGGCTACGCTAGAAACAGAATTCTGGAACAAGGGATGATTGATAGAAGGATAGATTACCAGTTCTCTGGCCCATCCCTGATATTTCACAGATGGTAGCTAGGATATATCAAACTTCATTCAGAAGTTCTCTGCTTTGTAATCTAATCTGGGTTTGACCATAGGAAAGATGCATAACATGTTCTGGGTCTAGATCACACTTACCTTTTGAGTATCATACCAGGGGCCACCCCCCTCCCCCCCCGATACTGGGTACATTGATTTTCTTTACTTCAGTTTAGTTTCATTAAATTGGAATATACATCATTTGGACACATCAGTCACATGTTTAAAAAATTTCCTTTTCTATCACCTTATGAATTAAAATTTGGTAAAGATTTTAGGGTGTTTCTAGAGCCCCCTGAAGGTTTTCAGGGTCCTAAGTGTGGCCCTGCGATTCTTAAATAATGTTATTATCAGAGCAGGATTTGATTACTCTGAATAGAGTAACTTTATCTGGAGAAATACAGAACATAGCTATGTAATCTGTTGTTGCAGTTAAACTGCAAGTGACCTTTAGCCAGATTTGCTGTTGTTGTTTATGTCTCCCAACTTTACAAAACTTTTGCATGAACACAGATCTGTCAGAATAAATACAAGTGGAAAGTTGAATGCTGGGAAGAAATGCTGAAGTA